GATGTCTTCACATCCCCCCAATGATTCGGCATCTGCCTTCGGCCTTTGGCACCCTTGCATCATTCGGCGCGTACGATGTCCTCACATCCCCCCAATGATTCGGCATCAGCCTTCAGCCATGCCGAACATCACCTTCTAGGAGACACTTCTTCAGCGCCTTTTCTCAAAACCATGCCGAACGGCACCTTCCAGGAGACACTTCTCCCTGATGGCGCCATCCAACTCCGGCCATTAGCATTCGGCCATCAGCCATCAGCCTTCGGCATCAGCCATCGGCATCGGCCATCAGCCTTCGGCCACCAGCCTTCGGCCATCGGCATCGGCCATCATCCTTCGGCCTTTGGCCATCAACATCAGCCTTCAGCCATGCCGAAGGGCACCTTCTAGGAGACACTTCTCCAGTGCCTTTTCTCAAAGCCATGCCGAATGGCACCTTCCAGGAGACACTTCTCCCTGACGGCGCCATCCGACTCCGGCCATTAGCATTCGGCATCGGCCATCAGCATCGGCCATCAGCCTTCGACCACTAGCCTTTGGCCACCAGCCTTTGGCCATCAGCCTTCAGCCATTAGACTTTGGCCATCGGCCATCAGCCTTCGGTCATCAACCATCACCCTGCTGAAGAATGAGCTAAAACATTACTTGGCCAGTGCATTGATAACTACAAGTCCCCAATCAAGAAGTACCTCCTTAATCGGGAACTTGGGGGACTCCTGTTTGTACAATATCTGGCCAAGCACACCCCAAACACTCCCAAGCCAAAGGGAAGGGAGTCCCACATCGACAAAACACAAGAGGAGGGGACTCTCCCTTCTTTATAAAAGGAGACGTCTCCCCTTTAAGAAAGGGAGGGGGTTGGGCAGGCTACTTGGGCCTCATGGGCTTACCCATGAGCCCATTTACAAGCCCACGGAACATTGGCCTTTAGCCAGATCTTCAGCCTCCGACCTTCAGTCTTCGGTCTTCAGCCTTCGGCCTTCGGTATTCTTCTTCTTCTCCTTGAGTTTAAACCTATGCGCAATGTATACTCACATTATCGTAATGAGAACATACTTCTCCGTGGACGTAGCCCATTATTCGGGTGAACGACGTACATTTGTCTTCTGTATGCATGCCTATTTACTTACCGAATGCTCTCACACACTGAGGGTTCTTACCTTCAGCATCCACCTTATCTTTAAGTTGGCCTAGTTACTATCCATCTAGTTTTAGCGCAAACATACTTAATAAGATATTTATTATGAATAATGTTACTTTTACCACATTTGTATATCACATTCTCATACCACATTATGTGGCAAATGAGGTGGACAGCCACATCAATTAAAATTATTTAACATTTTCTTTTCTTTTATGATTTGTTAACACTTAAAAAAAAATTAATTAAACTTTCTTTATTAAAATACACTTAATTGATTTAATTGATGTGGCATATGATATGGACATGCCACATCATGTGGTATAATAATGTGGGATAAAAATATGTAAATGTAGCATTTATTATTATCAAAATCTGATAGCTTGTTACAGAGTGAGGGAGAGAGAAAGGGGAAGAATAGAGAGAAAGGGAAGGGGAATGGAGAAAAAAAGGGGAAATAGAATCAGGATGTGTGCTTTGGCCTTTTATCAATTTTTTTTTAAAATTCTCACATAAAAGTTAACTAAGGTTAACAATAGGACAAATGTCATCCTTTAAGAATGGTGGTGAACGTGACATTTGGTTAATATGGTGAGCAAAAATGATCCCTTTTTAACTACAGTAAGCCCTTCAATAGGATCGCACACAACTCTTATTTGGGAAATTTCAAAAATTGAATTTCTACGTTTCTAGATATGATGTAACAAATTTTCAAGTTCTTATTAATTAATAGTATCAAATCTTTGAACCATTCAATATATAACCAGCATCTGCAGTTTTTTATTTGACTGTGCTTTGTTATAAAAAAAACACTTCTAACAGAGTTTGGCAGAGAAGTTTAGAAGTGCTTTTAGGTCATAGAAGCACTTTCTGGAGAAGCACCTGTTATGTGCTTCTTCCGAAAACACTTGGATTTCTTATGAAAATTTCAACCTCTTTATAATAAAAGTGCTTATGAGCAGAAGTACTTCCTAAAGAAGCAGTCCCAAACGAGCCCTTAGACATGAACAAACAAAACATTGCAATATAATCCCTTTCCTTTTATGACTTTTTGTTCTTTCCAATTCACGTGTTCTAATAAGCTGTATTTTTAAAAAATGTCTAAATAATATAATTTCTAACACATCCTTTTTCTTTATGCATGCACATCATTTAGGTGGTCGTTGATTGCTGGAAGACTTCCTGGAAGAACATCCAACCATGTGAAAAACTACTGGAGTACTCGACTAAGGAAAAATATGTCTTCTGGGTCCGAAAAAGATAAAACCCTAGAAACAACAAAGACAGTAATATTAAGGCCTCAACCACGAACCTTCTCCAAAAAGTCAAATTGTTTGAGCAGCCCAGCTCCAACTTTACAGCATATTCAATTACAAGAGAATTTTAACTGGCCATTGCCATCATCACCACCTATAGAAAATGGAATTGATGAGTGGAAAAGCCAGTTAGCTGATACGAACAGTGTTGAAAGAGAAATGTGTTCTGGTTTTCCGTTGGAGGAAGATTTCTTCACAAACTTTTGGGTTGAAAATATAGCCCAAAACACAGGAACTGGTATAAATTCTGCAGACGAAGCCCTGCTGAGTAACAGTGACTTCTCTTTTCCTCTTTGGAATTTTTCAAAAGAAAAATAGAGAGAGAACTAAGGTTCAGAGGGTCTATGTCTTCCCAGTAGAGTTCTTTTGCATCTCTTTTTAAACATTTATTTCTGTTGAATTCTTTTGCATTGTAATATTCTGTAATAACATTTTCTATTATGGTAGTCAAATAAATAATATTCTAGTTTATCAACAAAAATAACTATTACACATATGCCTGAATTTATTACTGTTAAGCTCATAATTTCATACATATACATGCCCAATTTACTTACTTCTTTTGCTTAGTTTCCTATAATTATGAGTTATTTGCCTCTATTTGTGTGTTTTGTAGGCCAATAGAG